TCATCTCCGATTAAACAAACAAAAATGGAAAAGTGAGGTTAGATTCTTTTTTTAAAGTGCAAATAAAATTTCTGAAAAATTAGAATTCAGTGGTTAGTGCTTAGTACTTGTCGTTGTTTATATTGTTTTTGGACGGATATGCCTTAATTTATAGAATACATTCTTGATGAGTTAAAAGCTTTCTTCTGCTTCTAGTTTTTTGGAATATTTTGGCCTTAAAAAATAGGAATTAAACCATAAAAAGTAGGAAAAAATAAACATTTAATCTTGTTTCGTAACTGCAAGTACCACCACAAGAACGCTCAGTCACAGTTCAATCACAAGCTTTTTGTTTGTATATACCTCTAGGCCAAAACTTGTGGTGTGTGTTCAACGCTGACAAGGTTCTCCCTTTCAAGCTCACTCAACTGGTAAGCTCCACTGTACATTATTTTTCTGTTGCTCTAGTTAAAGAGAGATAAAAATGAACACAGAAAGCAAATTGATTCACTGAGAGTGGCAAGAAATAACCCAAAAGCTGCTAAATTTGCATGTGGGTTTTCATTGCAGTCATCAGATTACTGAACCCAAGTGAAATTTACTAGCTTTTCTTTGTGGGTTTATTCTGATTGATCATCGATCAAACCATGGTCTCTGCAATTCTCAATGGGGCTGAGAACCTCTCACTCATCAGAGGCATAACCCCAAACGGGTTGGGTTTCATGGGGTCAGATCTTCATGGGAAGCAATTTCTGAAGATGGGTTTGGTTTCAAGTACAAGAATTTCCAAGTCTTGCACCAGAACCATTGTGCCCAAGTGCAGCTTCTCAGCATCTAGGCCAGCATCCCAGCCTAGGTTCATTCAGCACAAGAAAGAGGCTTTTTGGTTCTATAGGTTCCTCTCAATTGTGTATGATCATGTCATAAACCCTGGGCATTGGACTGAGGACATGAGGGATGAGGCACTTGAACCAGCTGATCTCAGTAATAGGAATATGATTGTTGTAGATGTTGGTGGTGGTACTGGCTTCACCACTTTGGGTATAGTTAAGCATGTAGATGCCAAGAATGTCACCATTCTTGACCAGTCCCCTCATCAGCTCGCCAAGGCAAAGCAGAAGGAGCCCTTGAAGGATTGCAAGATTATTGAGGGTGATGCTGAGGACCTCCCTTTTCGAACTGATTACGCTGATCGATATGTATCTGCCGGAAGGTAAATTGCTCATACTTCTTTCATTTGGTGTATTTTCTAGCTTTTCTTAATCTCGAAATTGCAATTTGTCATGTAATCTGTTGATTGTATTTCAATTTAAAGGCTAAAAAGTAGTCTTCGCCTATTTAGAATGCTATCAGTGTCCACGTCTGTCAATTTCAGTGTTATTAAAGGAAGAGTTAAACATGAATGTGAAATTAAGAAGAAAGTATCAGTCTGAATTGTGTTTCCTAAACTCCCTTTTCATTATGGCTGATAGGAGCATCTGCATGCAAGTGTTTTTTTGGTTTTCAAATGCACACTTCATTTGAATGATTGAACTCAAATATGTGGTAATAATCTGCAGGATGATATTCAGTTTTAATTCATCCTGAGTTTACACATACACTCTAACTTTCTTAGAATCTTTCTAATGATTGCATTTTCTCAGCATTGAGTACTGGCCAGACCCACAGCGTGGCATCAAGGAAGCATACAGGGTCTTAAAACTTGGAGGAAAAGCATGCGTAATTGGTCCTGTGTACCCAACATTTTGGTTATCTCGCTTCTTTGCAGATGTGTGGATGCTTTTCCCAAAGGAGGAAGAGTACATTGAATGGTTCCAAAAGGCAGGGTTTAAAGATGTCCAACTGAAAAGAATTGGCCCAAAATGGTATCGTGGGGTTCGCCGGCATGGATTGATAATGGGATGTTCTGTAACAGGCATTAAACCAGCATCCGGGGATTCTCCTTTACAGGTAATTTCTCACGGAGAACCCTGTTTGACCTATGTCTTGATGATTATTACCCTTCTGGGTTCGATTTCGTATCGGTTTATAGCCAATCACTATGATGATTCTAGTGGATTCCAATTGTGTAGTACTTTGGTTATACTTGCTCTATAATGATTACTTGAACTGGAAGTTCCTGTCAACTCAAAAACGATAACGGTATTGATCTTGTTTTGTAATGTGTGGTTCCTTCATCCTATGATCTATCTTATTTACTCTTCATCTGTCTTTGTGTTTGGATGCAGCTTGGTCCAAAAGAAGAGGATGTGACAAAGCCTGTAAATCTGCGGTCGTTCTTTGTGCGGTTCATCTTGGGTGTCATGGCAGCAACATACTTTGTTCTGGTGCCTATATACATGTGGCTCAAGGATAAAATTGTACCCAAAGGTCAACCAATCTAAGAGAGAGAGAGAGAGAGAGAGAGAGAGCCTTAGAAAACATTATATTTCAGCATCTTTTCGTGTGCTTTTGGTTGGTTTCACTTTTAGTAGGCAGGCAAAGTTTTCATAGTGTTTGGTGAGACTGAATTGTTGATGATCGCTAATAAAGTTCCAATCACATTTTTAATTTTTCTATGTTCTGTAACAGGCATTAAACCAGCATCCGGGGATTCTCCTTTACAGGTAATTTCTCACGGAGAACCCTGTTTGACCTATGTCTTGATGATTATTACCCTTCTGGGTTCGATTTCGTATCGGTTTATAGCCAATCACTATGATGATTCTAGTGGATTCCAATTGTGTAGTACTTTGGTTATACTTGCTCTATAATGATTACTTGAACTGGAAGTTCCTGTCAACTCAAAAACGATAACGGTATTGATCTTGTTTTGTAATGTGTGGTTCCTTCATCCTATGATCTATCTTATTTACTCTTCATCTGTCTTTGTGTTTGGATGCAGCTTGGTCCAAAAGAAGAGGATGTGACAAAGCCTGTAAATCTGCGGTCGTTCTTTGTGCGGTTCATCTTGGGTGTCATGGCAGCAACATACTTTGTTCTGGTGCCTATATACATGTGGCTCAAGGATAAAATTGTACCCAAAGGTCAACCAATCTAAGAGAGAGAGAGAGAGAGAGAGAGAGAGAGCCTTAGAAAACATTATATTTCAGCATCTTTTCGTGTGCTTTTGGTTGGTTTCACTTTTAGTAGGCAGGCAAAGTTTTCATAGTGTTTGGTGAGACTGAATTGTTGATGATCGCTAATAAAGTTCCAATCACATTTTTAATTTTTCTCTATCAACCGTTTGATGATCTCCAATATAATTAAATTTGTGTGAAGCTTCCACGTGTAGGTTTCTTTTCACCAACGAATTGATTTATCCCCCTTTCATCCTTCTAAGAAATGAAAATGGACACATAATTCGTAAGAATCTGGGGCATCACATGCCCCTACAAAAATATTTTTTTTCTTTTGGGCTCAAAATCGGCATCGCCGTTTGTCTCGGAATTAAATCCCTCGGTATCTTGCACCATGGCACGAAAAAAGGGGGAAAAAACCCCACACAAAATCCTATAAAAAAGTATATTATTACATTCAAATTACATTGCCATGTGAAAGCAAAGATCCAATGAGACATATAAACCTAGAATGCCTACTGATCCATTCTGTCTGCATACAGATACATGAACTCACGATGCCACTACCTTTTGTCGCGGTGCAAGATATAATTTGCCTCTCTCATTGCTCAAGATGCCATACCCTTGTCCCAGTATTGGGAATAAAGATTACGGACTGATATCTTCATATGAAACCAAACCCCTTTGTCCAGATGGGGAGCTTGATCTTGACCTGCTGGGAGACCTAGGAGTTCTATTACGACGCTTTGGTGTAGCATCTGGAGATCTGGAACGAGAGGGCCCTCGGCTCCTTGACCTGGACTTGGACCTACCTCTGTCTGGAGAGTGCTGATCAGCAATGCGGGGTCCAAGGCGGGATTTTAGTCTCTCACTTACAGGAGGTCGATCTGCTAGACTAGGACTACGGCTGCGGCTGCAGCTACGGTCCCTATTACGGCCACGATAACCATCAGGGCTGCGGGAATTGCTCCTACTTCGACTTCTCCTGCTTCTGTATCTATATAAACAGAAAAACCAATCAATATCAAGATACATCGGTGCCTCAATATGCCAGAATAAACATAACCCAATGTACAAGAAAAAACCAACATATCCATTTAATTGCAGGATCATAATGCAGTAAAACTACAGTTCTGGCTAAGATACTAAAGGTGCCAAGATCCTCTTCCCAGTAGTTGAAATCACCAGGTAATATAATCCAGTCATCAAGTCAAATGTTTTCTTCCCGCACTTTCTATAAACATGTGACATTAAGTACACACATCCATACAAAAGCCACTATCAGCGATGTCCATAGTTCCCAAGTCATCACATATAAAGACTCAAAAGTTCAACAAGTTTAATTTCATCCAGTGTGACTCATTTATTGACAGATAGGATAAATGCTTCTGAATTATAAGCATTGTAACAATTTCTTTTTATTCTTTGAGAGGACTTGGGGATGTTGCCACAGATTTTTCCTTATGGCATACTCCAATTAATGGGTTTCAAACAAAATCACAATGGTTTTACTTCTTCCCTCTAAACAGAAGGATCATTTGAGCTGTGACTTTTCCTCATCTTTTAATGAGACCTACAAGTCCATAGTTGATGCAAACCAGCATACAGTTGATATTTAATTTATACAATGGCTCAACATTTCTTCAGGCAGGTTGAGAGAGAGAGAGAACCTGGGAGGGCTCCCGCCTCTTGGTGGGCTCCGGAAACGTCTACGTGGTGAGCGCTCAGAATAATTTCTGTAGTTTGAGTACCTTCAAATAACACCAAAGATGAATTATTTTGAGCTCATGCATTCTTACTCATAATTCAATCGCATGATCCTGAAATTACCTATCACGGTTATTTCTATACACATCTCTTCCACCATAACGATAGGAGTTACGAAGTGACCGCTCTGGGGATGGAGTGCGGTAGCGACGTGCAAAGGCATAGCGCTCAGTGAAGCCACGCCCTTTTCTAACACGCTTTGGAGTGCCATTTGGAGTAGTGCTTCTTGACAAACCCCGGTCATGGGTAGAAGGTTCAGGGCCTTTGTGGACAGGGCTGCCCAATGGACTCCTAGAAGGCCTTCCTCTGTTTTGCTCACCAGAATTCCTTGGCGAACTTCCCCTTGAAATTCTTTTAGGACTTATGCTTGGACTGCTTCTTGACCTCCTTTTGCGAGTCGGACTTCTGCTGATTAAATATGCACAGAAATTTCAAGCAATCAAAGATGTATTAAATACCAATTATGCATGATCTGCCCAACTGAACCCGTATATACATTAAAAAATATATAAGGGAAGCAAGTTAACAGTAGAAACCTGGAGTCATCTGAGTAGGAATTCCGATTAGCTGTTTTGGCTTCTGCATTATGCCCGTTATTTATACGGGCATCATTCTTCGGAGACAATTCACCTTCTTCTTGGGATGAGTTGTCCTCACTTTTCTCCGTATCATGATTGTTCCTCTGTTCAACAACAGTTTTTTTAACTAGAGGAGGGGGTTCCTTTCCCACATCTGTAACATCATGAAAAACCATAAGTTCACACTAGACTATAAAATGAAGGAAAGATTTCAAACAAATCTATTTAAAACCTTTGCTGTCTTGCACGTGTGCATACACACAACATATATATGTACATATGCTAAATGCTAACAAAAAATAAATCACATTAACCATTATCAGGTAATAGAGGTCATCTTGTAATGAAATAGATGACATACCAAGATTTGTTGGAAGATTTTTTTCTGCACGCTTTAGGTTACTGGTTTTACGAGAAGCAACATGATGACCATCTTTATCATCATCAGAACTGCTTGTGCTGCTTCTAGTACTCTCACTTTTTGTATCACTTGAACTTTCCAATCTCCTGAAAAAGAAAACAAAAGATCATAATCAGAATTCAAGGAGACTAAGACAGAAAAACAGAAAGAGAAAAAGAAGTTGTGTTTGAAGAAACTAGAAATCAGACCGTTTTGTCTTGCGCCTTGATCGTTTGGCATGCCGGCCTCTCTTCCTCTCTTTTTTTCCATCTCTTCTTTTCCTTGAACGCTGGTGCTTACCTTTTTTAACAGACCTCCTCCTACGCCTTCCACCACTAGGCGGACTTGAGTCAGATAGAGAGGAATCTGAATCTGAATCTGAATCTGAATCTGAATCTGAATCTGAGGAATTAGACTCAGACATGTCTGAGCTGGATTCAGACGAAGAGTATCTCCTTCTCTTTGTTTTTCCCTTCAAGGATTTTTTACGCCTTCCTCTTGCTTCCCCATCAGAACTATCCTCAGAAGATGAAACCTTTCCTGATTTCCTCTTTTTAACTGAAAGAAAGACCGATCACATGTCAGATGCATTGTGCTACTATTACATACAGTATTTATAAGCCATAAAAAATTCTTGAATGAGCACTTATATATGCTCACATTACCTCTCTCTTTCTCTGTTACACCATGGACTTTACTCTCAGAAACTTCACCACAATCTACAATTTTCACAGTTTGGAAAGGTTTTCCATCCGCTGATCCCACTCGCTCAATTTTCTCAACTACTTCCATTCCTTTCACAACCTTTCCAAAAACAACATGTTTCCTGGCAAAGAAGATAAATTAAAAACGGAGTTAATGACTATACATCATTCAAATCTCTCTAAAACAACCCTTATAAAATATTCTCTTTAAAGATGGTGAAACAATGGAAATTACACAAGATTTATGGCTGAGGGTAATGAGTAAATCGAGCATCTAACCTCAAACTACAAATAAAAGAAGCAATAATTACCCATCTAGATGAGGCTGGTGCCTGAAGATTATAAAGAACTGGGACCCATTTGTGTTTGGACCAGCATTTGCCATAGACAGAAGACCAGGTCCATCATGCTTCAATTTAAAATTTTCATCTGCAAGGGAAATGAAAACCATGAGCACAATTAAATATTTATGATGCATACAAGCGTGTAAATTCATACGCACAAAATCTACCTGCAAACTTCCCTCCATAAATACTTTCTCCACCAGTGCCTGCAAACCAATCAAAGGTTGATCCTTACATGTCTGGGCATGAATTAAGAAGTCAAACAGAGAATTTGCATTCATCAAACAAAATAATTGATTTACATGAAGAAAGTCATACCATTTCCATTTGAAAAATCACCACCCTGTGTAGAGAGAGAGAGAGAGAGAGAGAGAGAGAGAGAGAGAAACACATGTATATGTTAGTAATTACAAGGTAAATAAATAACTTGCTGGAATCATAGAGGAAAGAACAGAAAAACCCGCCATTATAACATCATCATCCTCCACATCTAGATAATTGAAAACTATATCACTCAAAGCAGCAAATGATAAAACTGGTTTTTAGGCATTTTTAATACAAGCTTTGTGATAGAGGATTAAGTATTGGCATAGCGAAGTCTGTACATAAAACACAATTACCAGCCATTTAAAGGAAGGAAATGGACAGTCAGGAAATAAAAAGTCCATAACACATTTGTGCCAGGCACAAGAGTGGTTTGTCCTTTCAGGAAGATAAGTAATATTTGATAATGCAAATGGTTCAACAAAAAACAAAACAACATACTTGGGCCATAAATCCTTTTATTATTCGATGAAATTGTGATCCTTTGTAATGGAGAGGTTTGCCTGTAGACTTTCCAATGCCCTTATCACCTATAACAGAAGATAACACAAAAATGTCACACTATAGATCATTTAATCGATGAAAAATGTAGGTAACAGATAACTCATAACAAGAAGATTAAAAAGTTAGGAACCAAACATTATAATCATGGATTTGCTTACTAGAATTACAAATCCAATAAAAGGACCAGTACAGAGGTTTACAAAACTAATTTACTTCAGCCACACCAATGTACCTCTTATGCTGATCCTACAGTCTTTGTAATTCTACCAAATATATCCATAAAAAAAAAAACCAAATCTGCCTCCTCAAACTTTTAGAAATCAAAACTGAACACTTTTCCCAACATACATAACATTTAATTCATTATTGATGAGTGCAATCGAAATTTAAAAAATACCTGTACAGAGGGCCCTAAAATTCTCTGCTGTCTTAGGAACAACATCAGCAAAAAGCTGCACATTTCAGGGGAAACAAGTGCATCCTTATCTTTATATGCAAGCTAAAAGTTTGCTTTTATAAAAGGTAAAGCAAGCTAAAAATTCAAACAAACAAGAGGTGTGACTGATTTTACATACCTCTATAACAACTCTTTCCATTGGGTCCCCATCAGTTGATACATCTAAGAAGACACAAGGGTTCTTTTTCCTGTTCATATCTTCCTGTTCAAGGACATCAAAGGAAAAGAAGTAAATAAACACATGCAATTACAGTGTAAACCTACGTAACAATAATACATATAATCTCTTTAAATTAAATCAAAATCACATCACTTAAGATCCATTACATACATTCAACCAAAATGGATGTGTAAGTTTCCATTATTGATCCATGTATCTCCCTAGTGCATTAGAGCATAACCCTTAAAACCCTAATATCCAAACAAATTATTCAAACTTCAGTTAAGCATAGAAAAATCTAATGTAACTAACAAAATAGATGGACCAATTCCCGCAACAAACTAAACCTTAATTTCTCCTTGATGATTAGTTTCAGCTCAAGAAATTATCTTCACGTGAAATTCAGCAAAACAAAATAAATTGAAGCCAAAGTTTATGAAAACTAAAGCAATAACAAACACAAAAAGGAAAAACGAACCAGTGACCAAAACACCCTAAACCTTAATTTCTCCTTCTGACTCAGTTTTCAGCTCAATAAATTATCTTTATAAAATTAAGCGAAAACCCACAAATTGAAGGAAAAGTTTTTGAAAAGACAAAGACATAATAAACCTAATAAAGCAAAAACGAACACTGAGGCTTAGAACCCTAGCAATCAGAAAAAGAAATGCGAGCTCCTGTTTGCTTCCACGGGTTGGGCAACGATCTAGACATTGACCCTTCCTACGCCGAACCCATAATTTGGATTCGGTCACAGGGCTTCACACTGGCATTACAATTCGAATGCCAAATGTGCCCCAATATTGGCTGAGACTCAAAACTCTGTTCTTTAAGCTAATCGTCACCAAATTTACAGACCCTCAACACGACGCGCAAGCCTAAACCCTAATAGTCCGAGTACGATTCCAGAAAATCCTAATTCCACCAGCTACCATAAAACAAGGTGTTGCAGTAGTGGAATATAATGATGCAGTGTCTTAGTTGTGCTTTTGGTTCCTGAATCTTTACGTGAAGGGTAGCATAGGAATTCAAGATTACCTGGGTTGAGTGTGAGTCGGGCTCAGTGAACTCGGTTTCGAATTCGGAAACCAAGAAAAGACGACGACGGCGGCGGCGGCGGCGGCGAGCTAGAAGAGAGTGAAGAGACGGTAGTCTTGATTTTGTTTGCTGTTGCTGGCTTCACTTCGCAAAAAGCCTCCGTGAGATACCTATCTTGGGCCGAGGAAAAATCTCCTACTACGCGCAACATCCTTGCTCTCCATCTTTTGTTCGCCACGTTTTAACACTTGGTTGATGAGTGGTGATCCTTTGGGCCCTGTTTGGTGGGCTGGACTGGACTGGATTTTTCCAATTAAAATGGATTATAGTCCTAACCGTTGTTTGGTGAATCTAAATAGCACATTGGACTGGTTGTGACTTATTTTTTTGCTCCGGATAAGAATCCATCGTATGAGGGTTTTGTAAACCCAAGCTGAACCATGGGTTTCGAAGCCTCCGCCTCCTCCTTCACATCTCATCGCCTCTGCTCTGCGTCTTTGCTCTTCGTCGCCTCTGCCTCCTTACAAATTGCCTTCAGTATAAATTAAAATCTTGACCAACAAAAAAAGTACAAAATGAAAAGAAAAATTCCTTAATTTTATTTTCTCTTAATATCTTTTTGGGTGGGGAAAATGAAAGAGTAAAGGATTTTTTATTTATTTTTATACAAGCCATACTGGGTGGGGAAAATCGAACCTATAACTTTTGAGTGCAATGGTTAATACTCTTAACTATCTGAGCTACAAGCCTCTTGTAAGGAAAGCGAGATTCAATCATAGTAGTTTAATATAAGCAAGATTTGGAGAAGGTTAACCACATGAGCTACAAGCCCATTGCAATGAAAGTGAGATTCAATCATAGCATTTTGATATAAGCCAAAAAGGGGATGGCAATTCGAACACACGACCTCAGTTGTAGGATAATTGATTTTAATCACTTGAATCCGTTCTCTCACTATTTAAAATTATATATAAAAAAACATCTTCCAATGCAAACCACGGTGGTAGATGACATAATATCCTAACAACTAAAGCTGAAATCTGATTCTTAAGGCTTGTTGATTATTCATGTTATGTTATTCAATGGGAGACAATTTGTCAGATGATGACACTAAATCTTAGTGAAGCAAGGCAACATTATATTGTGAAGACTAGTCGCTGAAAAAGACATTAGCTGTCTTTGGAAGACTTCAAGTTGATTGGTTATATTTTGGGTTGCAAATGTCAAGAACGCCAAGTAAAAACTACGCTAAAAAGTGTTCATCAAAGTCAGAGGGGACCCTTTGCCTTGCCTCCAACGCAGAGAGAGAGAGAGAACATCAAAGTCATGGCCTTCTTGACCAGAGAGAGAGAGAGAGAGAGAGAGAGAGAGCTGAAAATAGACCAAGAGGGTTGGTTTGATTCCACAAGTCTCACTTCTAGAAAAATTTCGGCTTTTGAGCAGAAAAATATCACATGCGTGTTTTTGACTATTTCATTGAGATTTCAATTAATAAATTCAGCCTCTTTTCTTACCGACTTATAAAGTGTTTACACAATAATCATAATCCCTCACAAATTCAGTTTTTGAGTGTTTCATTAAGATTCCTTGTCCCCTCAATTTTTGTTCCAACAAAATGGCAGAGGCATTAACAGAAGCTCAGATTTCTGAGTTCCAGGAAGCCTTTTGTCTAATTGACAAGGATTCAGACGGTGAGTTATGTTTACAAGTTCCTGTCATCGTATCGTATACATCATTCCTCTCACAACTATCCATCGCATTCTCGTGTTGTGCACGTGCAATGAGTTGAGTTGATTATGAGACGATAACTTAAGCAGACATCAATTTATGTATTGAGAAGTACTGCTGGCAGAAGCACTTATCTGAGGTAGTTTTTCTATATATTTCATTTTCTGAAAAGTGATTAACTGGCATATGCAGGCCTAATTTCCTTGGAAGAACTAGCGACAGTGATCCAATCGCTGGACGAACGTCCCACAAAAGAAGAAGTCCAAGACATGATCAATGAAGTTGGTGCTGAGGGAAATGGGACAATAGATTGTGAAGAGTTCTTGAGGATTATGGCAAGAAAGATGAAGGTAAATTAATCATCATAATATAAACAAAACATGTTTTTTTTCTTCTTTCTAATTAAGCTTTCGGAACCAGTTTAATCAATCTGTAAATCTCATCACAGGAAAATGTTGCTGAGGAGCTGAAAGAAGCCTTCAAAGTATTTGACAGAGACCAAGATGGCTATATTTCAGCCTATGAGGTAAACATACTGATTTGACTTTTTTAATTTTATTTTTTATGGCCTCATTGTTAATGCCAATATTATAAATTATTTTTATTTTTATTCGGTAGTTGAGGCAAGTTATGATAAACTTGGGAGAAAGATTGAGTGATGAGGAGGCTGAGCAAATGATCAGAGAGGCTGATGTAGATGGTGATGGTCTTGTTAGCTATGAAGAATTTGCAAGGATGATGATGCTCAGTTGATCTTTTTACTGGAGTCGTAGAAATAGAACATTTTCTCAAATTTAATCATGTGTTTAAATTAAACCCATCATTTAGGAAGCCATTAACGCACATTCTGCAATTATGGTTGTAATATATAGAAAGTGCTCCTTTAGTTTCATTCTTCACAACATAATGAAGAGAGTTTTTAAATGAAAAAATAAAAAAAATTCGCAGAGACCATTTGTGATATATATATATATATATATATTCCACGTCAACAAACTAACCGATGTTTTGACGAAACCTAACGACAGAGACCATTTGTGATCACATATACTAATCTTGAGGACCACGAATGATTAAAAAAAAAACATTAATGATACAATTACAGTTGTATAATCTTTTTAAAATTGTTCACATTTTAAAGCATTGATAATGTTAATAATAAAAATTGGGCCCAGAATTCATGCCCAATGGCGCTTGAAGAAGATGCAGCCCTATCTTTCCTCTCAGGCCTAGTCATTCAAAGCACAGCCCGAACTCTGGGTTAGGACCAAGTGGCAATAATTTGCCAATAACGTTAAGGACATTATTGACTTTTCAGGTTTCATTGCAATTTTTTTTTTTAAATTCTCAAAATTAGGAAGAGGACGGGAAAAGACTCACACACTTGGAAGCGCACGAAAAACCTAAACGAATCCAACTAAAACTCTCTTCATTTGCGCTTTCATTCACTCAATTTTGCAACATAAACACACCAACGCAACTTCATTTTTTACGTTTTCACGTGTGGTTTCTCAAAAAAAAATCACACGTGTTTGAAACTGTAACAGTTTGCGCCAAACCCTTACCCTCTGCTCGAGAAAAACCGCGTTTCTTCTTCTTCTGTCTCTCTCAACCCTAGAAATGGCAGATTCGGAATCGAACCATATCGACGAGCATTCAGCCGCCTCAACAACCATAACATTCGACCGACCGGTCCCGTTGCTCCGAGGACCAGTTCGGGCTGGCCCACCCGATGACCCATCCTCCGGTCCGTACGTCCTGGCGTTTCGAGACCCCAGGACATGGGCAAACGCGTACAGAGCCTGCGAGTCCAAGATCATCGAGCAGTGTGAGGCCGGCGCCAGGATCGGGTGTGCCATCAGCGCATCGGACAAGTGTAAGCCCCCGTGGTGGCGAGCTCTGATTGGTCCGAAAGCACCGGACTTGAAGCAGAGGGAGCAGTGCGAAGAGAGAGAAATGGAGGGGTGTTTCGCTGCGGCGAAAGATAAGTGCGTTGGGTTCGCGAAGGAGAAGTGCTTAAAGCCCTTCAGAGACGCGAGAATTGCTGGTCTTCATGTAAAGCAGGCTGAGAGGTTGGTTTGCTGGGCAACTGTGATGGATCGGAGCACGTGGCTCAGTTTGATTGGATTGGACAAATTGGGTTATTTGGGTTCGGGTAATTATGGATTTGGAGCAACAAATTATAGGGCTAGTGAGTTGTTTGGTTCTGATTGTGACTTTGATCTTGTTTTGGGTAGTAGCAACGGGATATTGAAGGTGTGAATTTGGAGAATGGTGTTTAAAGTTGCTACATTTGTGAAGAAGTTGCTGATGAAGTGAGCATTTGCAAAGGTTTGTTTGTTTGAACTCTGATTCTTTGATTTACCATGAAAATAGTAGAAAAGATGCAAAGCTTTTTTGAATTTAGTATTACAAATTTTTTGAGTATATCAAACTTATTGTGTTATAGTATTGGATGAGCATCGTATGCTTTTGCTATTGGATAGGAATTTTGCACAGATTGGGTTCTATTTAGGAATCTCTGAGACTCAAGCATGTAGAGCTGAACAAGATTAATGGGTGGCTTTCTTGGATCTAATATATCTTGTCCTTCTCTTTTGATGACTTCCTTTATAGTTTTCCGGATACTTTGAAATTGAGTTAATGGAGTTTGAATCCTCAATGTTGTTGTTGCTGTATTTTGTTTGGTGCTCGTTGGGCTGAAAGAGCCCATTTAGTCCCTCATTTTCAGTGCTAACGTTGACCTAGGTTGAACATCCACACAAAACAAAATCTTTAGGCCCAAAACATCCAAAAGTTTATGGTATCTTGTACTTCACGTGCATCTACATGTTCTTAGGGGAAATATGATTTTGGGCTATCCTGGTGTGAGGTCATTCCTCTATAGACTTTCTGTTTGTGCATGCTTTATCTTGAACATATTACATATGCAGATAGCTATCTGGAAAGGATTCATTTATTTTTTATAGGTTATCTGGGTAGACTTTTTTTTGTTTACGTATGATTTTGTACGCAAATAGTTTCTTGAAAGCATCATTTTCATTTATAAAACAAATGAAATACATAGACTTTCTGCATATCTATGCTTCTACCTTTAATATATGCAAACAGTTATCTTGAGAGGATTATTTTCTTTGTTTTAAAATATAAATTAGCTATGTATTACTTTTTTAAACTGATTTGGTTTTGTGATCTTGAATAGTTCTTTCCTTACTTTTAGGCTCCACCACTAGGTTTGTAGATTCACATGAAAATTGGAAATTCTTACAAGCTATTCAACTAGGAAATTTCTGCTTCATTTAGCTGCTGACACAATACCAAGCTGGATTGCATTATGGTCTGCTGACCTGAAACAACGAAAAAAAGGCAATAGAGTCTTCACACAATTTCATATACAGAAACAATGTTATATCTGTTCAATACTGTTGGATATCTTATCTTGTGGTTCACATTTATAGTAAAGGGAGCGCTATTCGCCGCCATTGGCCCCCACACAACGAATAACGCTGGAGTTTTGAGGGTGACCGAAAGTGCGAATGGTGCTCCCCTTACAATACATATATGATTATATACACCGACCGACCGTTGTTTGTGGAATATTATACGTATAAAACTCTAACTTTGGCCTTATAGGTCACATTTTAAACCGATGAAATGCTGATTGATGATCAGTCTACCTACCATCAAACATCATGGGCATGGCTGCCACTGTCATCGTTCTAAACAAAGCAAACACGGGTCAGCCGCGTAAGAAAAAATGCATAAAATATCAAGCATTAACCGGAAGTTGCTGGGAAGTTGCAAAGACGGCCACATGGGAGGAGTTTCTCTTTGTTTAAAGTGTACAACTTGGTTTTTGGGTCAATGTCGTGATTTATGAGGTAGACCATTTTGTCTGACTGGTTCGTTTTGTGTCCTATCACTTTGACGAGGAAATCACCAGGAAATTTCGTTTCTTGCTAGTTGTCAATTGTATTTTTGTAAAGTCTGTACTTTTTCTGCAAAAAGAAAAGGACGCAAGATAGGGATCCAATGTGAAAAGAAAGTGCAGTTTGCATTTGTTGCAGAAATTTACTGGTTGCTGCCTTTTTGCTTTTCTACTGCTTGCTGCTTTTGTGCTTTTAGCTTTCAGATTGGAAAAATAAAAAATAAAAACCAAAAAAATAGTATTTGTTGCAGGAAAGATGTGAAAGATGCCGCAAAATACGATCTTTTTAGGCCATTTTCCCAAGTCCAAAACCAATCGTAATCAGCCGACTTAGCACTTTAGATTTTTAGAAGAGGATTCTATTACTAAAGAAAATTAAAAAACTAAACAAAAAACAATGGCCGTAGTTTTAAGTCTTTAGATTTATGAGTGCTTTATTTGTTGAGGAAACATCGCTGCCATTTTTGTTAATAAAAAACAGAGATGAATGGAAGTCCGGCTTGGCGGCAATTCTTTTTCTCCAAACCGTTAAACAAGCAAGGACAAAAGGCGTACGAATATTATTGGGTCCAACGGCTCAATACTTGAAATTTATTTATATTGAAGCTGAATGTTTTTTATTTTTTGGGTGTCATAGTTTGAATTCAAAGTTGTAAATGATACAGAAATAAATGTGTTATAATGGTAGTTAGGACATTAAAAAATACAATGAGCTTGGGCATACTTATTGGTTCCCTCGAGCCGGAAAAGGAGACAATGAAACAGGAATATGCAAGTATTTTACTCAAGCTGGTAGCAGGAGGCTTCAAACCTTATTCAACTTCCAACCTACCCGAGAAACACGAGAAAAAGAAGAAGGAAGAAACGTTAACCTTATTAAAAATGTTGGACTTTTTAGATGCATTTGGCTAACGAAGGAAAGGCAGAGTTAGAAACTATGAATGCTGAGGCTTCGTGTAAAATTTTAAAAACAGCACCGGCAATGTAAACAATTAAAATGGGAAAGGTCAATAACACGATTCCCATTTCCCATTTTATGGGGTCGAGTATAATTTAATAAAGCAGTGGAAAAATTACTGTTCATCACCTTTATTTTATTCAAGAGGTCTTAAATTCAAATTACGGTTCATCCCGGACTTTTCTAAAATGCTTTTCTATTGCACAGAAAATGTCTGATTCACCCATCATTTTCAAAACCCAATTATTTATCACACAAGTGAAAAGAAACAAATTTTTGTCCCATAACATCAATGCCAGCTGCTCTCTTCTCCATATATTTTTGGAACTTCCTTTACTTTCAATTCGACAGAATTCTTAGAGTTAATCTTAAGCATTTCGTTTCAATCGAGCTGGAATAACTTGGTCGGTATTTTTAGTAGACCCCAACCCAACCCAAGTCATTGTTTTATAGCTCTTTTGCTTCAATTTCCACTACACAAAGTCTTTTGTTTTGTTTTTTTTTTTCAATGGATTCCCACCATGAGAATGCTAGCAACCTTCTCTTTAACCTTCTCTTTTGGACCTCGATCATTAATTGTATTTCCGTATTTGCCCTTTTTTATTTTTTAAAATAATAAACAATAAAAAAAGGGGTTTTTCAATCACTCGATCCCCACCCCAACTCGCCCCCTTCTTCTTTGGGAAAACCCAACAATCAACAGCCAAAATTCATCTCTCCTTCTCCCACCTGCGCAGCCACCCCCACCTCCCACCCCAGCCAGTAATTTCATTTTCCCACCATAACCTCGATTCCTTCCCCGTCGATGAAAACCCAACAGCCACATCCATTTTCCGCCCCACCCATGTTTGATCTTTATTTATTTATTTTACAATACCTCCTTCACACGTCTTTGCACAAAAATATGAATACGATGATTTTGTCTTTTTTTTTTTTTCTTTTCTTTTGCAAAAACCCAAATTTCAGGGAGGATGGTGGGCTAGAACTGATACATAAGAGATTGGGGGAAGGGGTGGGGGTGGGTGTGGTGAGAAATTGCAGGGAGGGTGGGTGAGGTATGAGTGCATGGATGATGGAGAAGGGGGAAAGGGACGGTGGGGGTCTTCCAAATGGTTTTGAATTTGGTTAAGGGGAGGGAGCTGGAAATTTTTTTCTGCAAAACGAGCAGGCTTAATTAAGACTCAAGGTGCATGTGGAGTTTCATTTGTTGACTTTGCCAAAGCAAAGGAGTCAATTTGCTTAATCGATGGAGTCCAAGCGTGAGGATGGGTCTGGGTGGAGTGGTGGGTTATGAAGATGGGTCTGGGTGCATGTGAGAGAGAGAATGTGACAATGGGAGAGAGTAATAGAAAAAGTTGTAAAATTTTTGAATAAAAATATTTAATAAGGGTAAATTTGGAAAAGAAAAGTTAGCTTGTTTGCTGCAGTAATGATATTGTTTTTAGTGTAAGGAAGATGACACATGTCATGAGAAAAATGGAGAAGGTCCAAAAGAGAAGGTTAAAAAGAAGGTCCGTGACACCCTAATTCGAACCCCAATGCAACAACAAAAAAAGATATTTTTTTAATAAAAAAAATTGAATGTTTAAAAAGACTTTGTGCATTCTGGCTCCTTCAATTTCACAAGACAAAAGCAAAATGACCAATGAAAAAAGCTGTATAAACATTGTTATTGACCAAAATGATAGCAAGCAGACAAATTTGCCGACAAGTTTCTATAAATACAAGCCCAACATGCATATCAGAATGAAGATCTTTCTATCAAACGGCTCATCTTGCTGACTTTTATCTTTTTGCACCGTAAAACCCTTCTACTTAAAAAACAAGAACAAAAAAAGAAGTCATGTTAAGCAGCGGGAGTGATTGTAGCAAATCGCTGCTTGACGACCTTGACATCAACCTCAGAGCAAAGAGGAGATGGCGCATGGCGTATCTGGCTTTACGTGTTGTTCGGGTCATGCTAGAGCTTCCCAAAGAGATTATATCGAGGGCAAGCAACTACGAAGGCGACGATGAGATTGTTCACTACAGTTTTGTGTCTGATGAAGATGCAGGCCTCAAAGAAATGGCCAAGGAAAAAGACTTGGCTACTGCTCTAAGTAAGCCCGGAGGAGTATTTACAGCAGGTCTTGCAACTTCTGATTATACCAAAAGGTACTATATATGTTTCCTGGTTAAATTTTTACTCTTGCAGATGTAGGCTGTTAAAACAATTTTGTTGAACTTCATTGTATCCTAGGAAGAATTTGTTATACAGATAAAACTAATACCATAAGATAAATGAGATGTGGTATTTTCATGTGTTCGTATTGAGTATAAAGTCGGACCGTAAAAAATGCATAACAAGAACTATAAGCACAACTGCAATGGCGTGAGAAGAAGAAGAAGAAGAAGAAGGAAATAGAGCCATTTTTGCAAGCTTGGGAACGTCATCTAAGTAGAATTTTCAACACGCTTTCCCTGTTGACCCAAATAGAAGTCATCATTGTAGACCTCACTAAAAGAAAAACTTTTATGTAACGGGATAACACTTTTTGTTATTTTTGGCCAATAATACAATGACACGTAGTATAACTTTTTCTCGTGTTATTGTGTTATTGGCCGGGATAGCCGTTATAGATAAGTTTTTTTCCGCTAAAAAGGGATCCAAAGTCATGTAGACCACACCTAGTGCAATCAAAACGAATGTGGGCCTCACATAAGGTTAGGAATCCTAATCTTTGATTTTGCCAGACTTGTGAAGATTGGGGTTTGAAAATGGACGCATGAGCCACCAATAATCAATGTGTGTAACCCCATGTTTATCCTCACTTTTTGATAATCTCTTTGGTGATGGAACGGGTAATCATGCCATTTTAGTACTCAAACAGGCTTTTCTTTGAAATAAAACTTAAATTTTAATTAACAAGAAGGCTATTTTGTTTCTCAATGGGAATCTGTTTTTCGACCCCAAATGGAAGAATTTTTACATGGACGAGGATCCAAAGGGCAAATCCGACCCGCCCCAACCCTATTTTTACCATGAATGAAAATAGCTGAAGGTAAAAAATATGTCATTTCATTAAATCATCTCTCTCTCTCTTTTTTTTTTCTTTTCTTTTGAAGACCTTTCCTATTAAGAGGGGCGATAGTATACTAAACTCACACACATTACACAAATGCTAGAACTCAACCCCTATACTAGTGGGTCCTTTGCTAAAACGTCTCATTAAGTACACAGAATAGAACCACCACATTGAGGAAATGGTTTCCATTACATTTCCCTTTCGGCACATGTAGTAGTACAAGAAACCTTTGATTTGGTTGGATGACCAACTGACCACGCAATTGATAGACCTTAAACCGAGCTAGAATTTGGAAGGTAGCCTTTTCCCCTCCACCAAGAAACTCGTCATAATTTTGTCTTTTCGCAATACTTTTGTTATTTATTGACCAAAGAATTTTGCTTGCAAGCATATCTCATTGACCAAATAGGCAAAATGAGAATGGAGAAGAACACCGACTGAATTTGGCTATAAAATTGAAAGCATAGCAAGATGCATATTAGATTTAAGTTCTTAGTTTCTCTGAACTAGGATCCTCTTCTTGACTTTATTTTCCTAACTGTGAACTCTTCAAAATTCTAACTAGTGAAAAACCATGTTAAGCAGCCATTATGATTATGGAAAATTGCTCCATGACATCACCACAATCACCTTCACCAGAGCCAAGAAGAGATGGCGCATGGCCTTTGCAGCCATATACGCTGTCAGGGCAATGCTTTCGCTTCCCAAAGAGATTGTAGCCAAGAGAAACAACTACAAACACCGCTCTGAGATCTTCCACTCTTTTTCTCACACCGCACCGGACATCGAACCAAACACGGCCTTGGACTTGAAACCAAGAACAAAATCTCAAACTGATGCCTACGGTTTTGTCCCCAACCTTGACTTCGACCATGCAGGGCTCACAACAATGGTTAAGGAAAGGAACTTGGGTGCTGTAAACGAGTCTGGAGGAATTATAGGCATTGCTGCTTCTCTGAGGACAAACCCTGAAAACGGAATCTATGGAAACGATTTACATGTCAACAAGCGGCGCGAAGTTTATGGATCAAACACCTACCACAAGCAGCCTCCAAAAGGGTTGCTCTATTTTGTGATCGACGCTTTAAAAGACACAACCATTCTGATTCTATGTGTCTGCGCAGCACTTTCTCTTGGATTTGGAATCAAAGAGCATGGGGCGAAGGAAGGCTGGTACGAGGGAGGGAGTATCTTTGTTGCTGTATTTATTGTCATTGCTGTCTCAGCTCTGAGTAACTTTAGACAAGAATTGCAATTCGACAAGTTGTCGAAAATAAGTAGCAACATCAAAGTTGAGGTACTTAGAGACAGACAGAGACAAGTAGTCTCCATTTTCAATATTGTAGTCGGAGATGTTGTGTTTCTGAACTTGGGAGATCAAATACCTGCAGACGGATTGTTCCTAGACGGCCATTCCTTACAAGTGGACGAATCGAGCATGACGGGAGAGAGTGACCATGTAGAAGTTGATTCTGCCAAGAACCCCTTCCTGTTGTCTGGTGCAAAGGTGGTAGACGGCTATGCCCGAATGCTCGTTACATCAGTTGGGATGAACACGGCGTGGGGCGAAATGATGAGCTCAATATCGCAGGACACAAGCGAAAGAACACCATTACAAGCAAGACTTGACAAACTAACCTCTTCTATTGGAAAAGTAGGCCTTATAGTTGCTTTCCTAGTTCTGGTAGTCTTGTTGATTCGTTATTTCACCGGTAACACAAAAGATGAGTACGGAAATAAGGAGTATAGTGGTAGCAACAAAAACATAGATAATGTGTTGAACGGAGTGGTTCGAATTGTTTCTGCTGCAGTCACTATTGTGGTGGTGGCAATCCCAGAGGGTTTGCCGTTGGCGGTCACACTAACGCTAGCTTACTCGATGAAAAGAATGATGAAAGATCAGGCTATGGTCAGAAAACTACAAGCTTGTGAGACAATGGGATCAGCAACCGTTATTTGTACAGACAAAACAGGTACTTTGACAAAAAATGAAATGGAAGTCACTAAGTTTTGGCTTGGCCAAGAACCTATTGAAAAAGATAATTCAATCAAACAAAATGTCTCTGAATTTTTCCATCAAGGAGTTGGTTTGAACACAACTGGGAGTGTTTACATACCTCTCTCAGGATCCAAACCTGACATCTCTGGCAGTCCAACAGAAAAAGCTATTCTGTATTGGGCTGTTTCAGATTTGGGCATGGACATGGAAAAAATGAAGCTTAGTTATGATATTCTTCATGTTGAAACATTTAACTCAGATAAGAAACGAAGCGGAGTTCTTATAAAGAAAAAGGAAGATAAATACATCCATGTGCACTGGAAAGGAGCTGCTGAGATGATAGTTGCAATGTGCTCAAGTTATTATGAAACCGACGGAGCTATAAAGTCGTTGGATGAAGGAAGTAGGTCTAAAATTGAGAAAATAATCCAAGGCATGGCAGCTAGCAGCCTCCGGTGCATTGCTTTTGCTCATACACAAATTTTAGAGGAAGAAATTGAATACAGCAATGATGAGAAGACTCACCCAAGGCTCAAAGAAGATGAACTGATCTTGCTAGGAGTAGTTGGTCTCAAAGATCCATGTCGACCAGGGGTCCTCAATGCCGTGAAGATCTGCAAGTCTGCAGGTGTGCAAATCAAAATGATAACGGGAGACAATGTTTTCACAGCAAAAGCCATAGCTACAGAATGCGGAATACTACAGATTGAGGACGAAGCAAATTATGGTGAACAAGTGGTAGAAGGAGTCGAGTTTCGAAACTATTCACACGAAGAGAGAATGGAAAAGGTTGATAAGATCCTCGTGATGGCCAGATCCTCCCCGTTCGACAAGCTTCTGATGGTGCAATGCTTGAAGCAGAAAAATCATGTGGTTGCAGTCACAGGAGACGGCACCAACGACGCACCTGCATTGAAAGAAGCTGACATAGGACTCTCCATGGGGATCCAGGGCACCGAGGTGGCAAAAGAGAGCTCGGACATCATCATATTGGACGACAACTTCAACTCTGTGGCCACAGTTTTGAGGTGGGGCAGATGCGTTTACAACAACATACAGAAATTCATACAATTTCAGCTTACTGTCAATGTGGCAGCTCTGGTTATCAACTTCATTGCAGCAGTTTCAGCTGGAGATGTTCCCTTAACAGCAGTTCAACTGTTATGGGTGAATCTCATCATGGACACTCTTGGTGCTCTGGCTCTTGCAACCGAGCGGCCTACCAATGAGCTCATGCAGAAGCAGCCTGTAGGCCGAACCGCGCCGCTCATAACCAACATTATGTGGAGAAACCTTTTATTTCAAGCTCTGTACCAAATAGCTGTCCTCTTGATCTTGCAGTTCCGGGGAGAGTCTATCTTCAATGTCACTAGTGAGGTGAACGACACTTTGATTTTCAATACTTTTGTGCTCTGTCAAGTTTTCAACGAGTTCAATTCGAGGAGCATGGAGAAGCAGAATGTGTTCAAAGGCATTCACAGGAACAGACTGTTTATTGGGATTGTGGGGGTAACTATTCTTCTTCAAGTTGTGATGGTGGAGTTCCTCAAAAAGTTTGCAGATACAGAGAAGTTGAACTTGCTTCAATGGGTGACTTGTATTTTAATTGCAGCAGTGTCATGGCCAATTGGTTGGATTGTGAAGTGTATACCTGTCCCGGAAGAACCAGTCTTCGAAATTATCAGGAGGTCAATAGTTACTTTCAAAAGAAATATGTGAGCATAGCTTGGAGACCAGGACAAGACGTCTGGTCTGGTATTCGAGCGTGGAGCTCTGGGCGTGAACTTAGGGCTACAGGTCCAACATATAGAGCTCGAGGCTCTATATTTGGAGCTCGGCGCTCGAGGTTCATGTCCTACATCCAGAGCTCGAAATTTGAGTCCAGTCGAGTGCTTGAGGTTTGGGGCCCAGGGCCAATGCTTGGGGCTTAAAGTCCTAGGCTCCAATGAATTAGAATGAGCATTATTCACCTCTACTCAGAAATTCTCATTGCATTCTCATTCCCAAACCTCAAACATTGGAATGAGAATTGGACTAAATGCTTATTCACCTCTAAGAATGCTCATTCCATTTCATCCCATTGAACAAAGGTTTACATAAAGATATGTATCTTCATAGTAGAAAATGTTTTAGTTCCAAGATGAGATTCTTTGTATGTTGGTTGGGCTAAATTTGCTGTAATCTTTTGATAGGAGATGTAAGTGAGAGCCTAGGCTCAATACAATCAACAATCACTCTTTATTATTATTATTTTTCTTAACTTACATTTATCTTATAAGTTCAATTGATTGTTTTACAAAGCATAGCAGCAGGGAGATACAAAGCTAAATGTCATTCCAACAGAGTCAGCTCTCAATTTTGAAAATAGCTTCGTAAGTGATTTGGAGCAATTACTCTTCTAGAAAAGGTCCTGGGTTTGAGTCATAACTTATAAAGTGTGTGTGAGTTTAGTATATTATCGCCCCTCTCATAGGAAGGGTCCTAAAAAAAATTAGCTTCTTGGTTATACATATAGAATTTCCGCTCGAGTATAATAAAGCAACCCCCTTTTTTATTTGGATGGTTTTTTTCAATTTGCAGATAAACAAAAACCCATCAAGTATAGAACAATTTCCATTCTGTAAAATCTAGTTCTCATTGTATTCACATTTCGAAGGAGTAAGCCTTACTTATTATTGTATCAGATTATTTACCAAACTGAAAAAGAAGAAGAAAATAAAAGGCAAATGCAAAAACATAGGAAGGGAAATGAAAACTCACTGCACAGCTTCATTTTCATACTGCCATGGCCTTCTTTCAATACAGAGAGAGAGAGACAGAGAGAGACAGAGAGAGAGACAGAGAGAGAGAGACACCAAATAAATAGATTGTATTTTGGGCAAGCAATGGGTCGTGTCGTGTCAGGTTTGTGTCTTCTTAAGATTATATACGTGTCAGGAATGCTCAACTCAAACCTGACTTGTTTAATAAACGTGTCATGCACAGGTTGACCCATTAAGTTCTTGTGCGGGTTTCGGGTTAACCTGCTAAGTGGTAACAACTAAAAGACATTTATAAAAAAAATTTGAAGAATAAACAAACGGGTTAGTGGGTTGGCAGGTTACACTGGTATTTTAGCGGGTTAGTGAGTTACATATGTATTTTAGAGGGCTAATAGGTATTTTAATAGGTTGGCGGGTTGACCCATCATGACCTGTTTTGTTAAACGAGTTATATAGGTATTTTAGTGGGTTAGCAGGTTGACTCGAAGATTGAACCCGCTAAATTCTCGAGCAGGTTTCGAGTCATGTAACGAGTCGTGCACGAAATTACCACCCTTTTGTATTAGGAAAGGAACGGCGATAAAGATAAGGGTCATGCTAGAGAGACCAACTTGATATACTAATTTGTGTACCAACTCTCTAATAGAGGTGGAGCCCACCAATACAATGAGTCACACGCTCTATTAGAGAGTTGGTATACAAATTGGTCTCCCTAGCATTTTCCTAAAGATAAAAGAAGCCGTCGTGGTGTTGTATTGTATCAAAGGCTAAATATGCTGACGTGGCAAAACCCTTTGAGTGATTGTTTGAAGCACAACTGCAATCCGAAAAGTGAATAATACCCATTCCGCTTTGGTCATGTGGAAGGCCAACAACGACATTGTTTATTTTGCATTATTCACGAATTGGCCCCATGGTATATTGTTGTCTTATTGGAAATTATTTGCCGTTTGGACCTTTTCAGTTGAGGACAAATATTTGATTTTGTAAATACATTTAGATGCTGCCACGTAGACATGGTACTGTATCTGTATTTGGGTTTTTCTTGCCCGGCCCGTTACCTTATGGGCTCATCACTAATAACGTCCACTTTCATGACCCACTTTTTTTTTTTAAAACTTCTTCTTCGTCATCAGATTTCTTCTTTAATTCTAGGCCCATCTTTTATGTTCATTTTTTTTTCTTTTCCATATATATATATATATATATATATTTTTGGTAGAGACTTTAGCTACACATTCTCTGCACATGGTAAAAGAAATATTGTGATCGAATAATGACTGCCATATGCAAAAATTCATAATAGAAATTGAAATTTCCAAGGATACAAGCGATAGGGGGTTCGAATTTGAGACAACTAATCTGCAAAACAAAGTTATTTTCCACTGGATTATACCTCAGCAACCCACGCGAAGTTAGACACTAAGTACAAACATGTAGAGCAGAAATTTCACAAGCATTTTAATTATTGAAAAGATTAAACAAAGATATCCAAGAGACTTATTAAAAGTATATACATGATGGACAGTTGAAGCTTTACAATAGTACTTGCAGTTGCAGCCAGCCATGCACAGAGATTCAAGTGCTTTTCCCCCCTTGTTATGCATTCTTTTACAGATGTCACCATTTAAATTGTTCTTGAACAAAACCAATACATTAAACTAAATTAAAAGGCAATGCAATCAAAGGCTTTATTATGCAGAATAAGGACTTATTAGGGATAAGATAAGATTGGAATCTAAAAAGCACCAGACATTTTTGGGTTGGAGAAATTCTGTCACTCGAAACCCTAACATTTTTGGGTCGGAAAGATTCCCCAGCATGCCCTCATACTTCCATAGCTCAAGATCATTCTCATTGGTCAAGTCAAGACTTTCTTTTGCAAAATAAAGTTCTGCTGAAATTGGCCACAACAAAAGAACATGTGGTATTAGACTAACTATTCCAACCAAAAGATGAACAAAAACAAATGCTTGATTAAAATTAAACTTACCACAAAGTTAGATCCTACAAGTGGAGGCTCAACAGGAAGCCAAATAATACTGAGGAAAAAGAAAAAGGACAGGGGAAGAGGGAAAAAAAACGATGGAACAGTACCATGGTACTCAAATGAAAGTAAATTAGAGCAAAATAAAGGACTGCCCAAATGAGAAAAAACACATAAAGAGACTAGCCTGACAGTGTAGGGGCTAGAATTGTGAAAGTAAAGTTCGTTTTCGTGATCCCGTCAACAGGTGAAGCTACCACATGATCTGATCTTTCCTCGACTGGCCAAGAGGGAAGTTTAGATCATGCTGGCAGCTTCAACTGCTAGTGGTCCACGAGAGGCAAGCAAAACCATATCCATGCGAAGAAGAGAGAGAGAGAAAGAGAGAGAGAGAGAGAGAGAGAGAGAGAGAGGAGGGGGAGGAGGGGGGCAGAGGTCTCTGGTTTTTCTTTAGGTCTGGGATGTGTTTGGAGAAGAGGAGAAGAGAGTGATATAAATAGAGGCCAAAGAATTCCTGTGTTGAGTCTTGTGGTGATTTTGTAATTATTAGGGGACTAGAAAAGAGAATTAGTATCGTGATCAATTTAATTATGATCAGAACAGATGGCAGTGGTCCAAAGTAAGACAAATTGAATATTATCAGGCTTATGCCACCACCATGCAGACAAGGCAGTGACCTCTTGTAATTTTCACCTTGAGCTTTTATCCACTTTAAGTGGGTATCTCCTTCACAACATACATGAACCAAAAAAGAGTTAAAAACACAATGAGTTTAATGGGGACCATTGGCACGCTTCTTAGCAAATTTAGGAAAAAAGGAAAGGAAGCATCTCAACCAAAACAAATGCATGTGACCACCCTCTCTCTATCTCTCTCTCTCACTTTCTCTCTTTCCGACTTGGTTTCATGCATTTTAAGTGATCTTACCTTTGTTAATTAGGGTGAAATTAGACATTCTAATCCCACACAAATGGTTTAATAATAAAAGATGAATACGAGTATGAGATGAGTTGTAAATTCGGATATACTTTAGTCCAAAACTTACAAGCACAGAAGCATCAAACATGATAAATATATATTAACGATGGATGATAAAATGTGCAAATAGTGAAATTTTCCCTAAAATAGAAAAATGGAGCTTACTTTATGAAAATGGAATGTGATTTGTGGAAATGCTTGAACCTTGAGAACATAATTGGTGTCAGCTGCACATTGAAAGCAAGGTAGAAATATGACAATGCCATGAATTAGGTAATGTTTGGGAGTCCAATGTGTAAAGTGAACAATCTGAGACCAGCAAATAGGAAAATGATTTGTATTTATATGATCTGATAAAGTTGGTTGTGACATTGACATTCTGTTGCTTTGAATTTGTTTTGATCCCTTTGGTAGGTTTAGGGGCAGATGGAACCAATAGATGCATGCAGAGTCATCCAAGTGAGAAAGTATCGAAAAGTGGAAAAACAAAATATTCTAAAGAAAAAGTTCCCAACATATTGGCTTGATTCGGATACACTCATTATTAACTATGCATTCTCTATATAAAAAAAAATTATATCTCAATTGCAGGGAAGCAGCTTTTCATTGGTCTCGAAATTTATAAATATTTGTTGGCTTCGTCGAAAGGGCAACTTGGAGCTTTTATTTATTAACTAGTTCAGTTAAAGCTAGTTGGATGTTGTGGTTGGTATAAGGATCTTTCTGGTTATATATGATACTTGTATATCAAACCCCACCCTCATCACTTTTTTCTATCTCATATTATCAAGTCAGCTATGCGTGTTCGAGAAACCTCATCTTCTTTAATTTAGATTATTGTTTGTATTAAAAGAATTATCAAGTTCAGTTGGTAAAAGGGTCGAACCAGGGTAGCTTAATTGCGAATGTGACTGGGCCGAAGCCTGGTCCAAATTTTTACAATGTTTGCGCAAGAAAGTACATCAAATATTTACAATGTTTGTGCATTAATATATTTCCTGCGGTTGCCTTGACATCCCTGTTCTGCATAATTTTCTCTTGCTGTTCTTCTTCGTCCTTTCACTGCAAGGCAGTCGGTTCCCTATTTCCAATCACACAACAATACACGGTCATCCCATTCCAAAATTGTATGTTCCGAATTACAAATCTATCATCTAAACCAGTTTAGGATCTGAATTACAAGCATCAGTTTAGAATTATAAAAAACAAATAAAGAAGATTGATTTAGGATCTGGTTCAGGGATATTAACATACCTTTCAAGGAGGGTCATTTACACTATTTGGGATTAGGTTAATGACGAGTTTATTAAGTTAAAAAAGGGAAAGGAAAGAGAAAAGCTGGGCGCAAAAAGAGAAAGTTAGAACGCATGCTATGAATGACAAAATGAATCTTACAGCAGGAGAATATACTATACTTACAGTGATTTCTCATGCCTACTTTATGCTGCTTTCTTCTTTCAAAGTTGGAGTGGTTGGCTACTATGTATTTTGGGTCCCAAATGGGAAGGAGTGAGGCTGTCAGAGCATGACCTAGCTAGGGTTACCAATGATATCTCCATATATACATCTATGATATCTGTAACCAAAGCTAGATCATGCTGGCAGCTTCACTTTTTCCCTTGTGAACTTTCTTTCTTTGCGCAGAGACTAGGTCAACTCTTGTTCTCATGATTGTGAGGATGAACAAAAAGAGAATGAATCTACAGCAAGGGGTAGAGAATAGAAGAGAAAGAGAGGAAAGAGAAAGTACAAGTTTATGAAATATTGCATGAACTTCCCCAAAGAAATCCAATATTTAAAAAACCAATCTTTGCAAATGCTAACTAAAATCAAAGAAAAAAGAAATAAAAACATAACCCTTCTCTACATGATCAAAAAAAGAGAAGAGAGGAGGAACAGCATAGAGCTTAGGCAAGGAGATGATGTATATTTGGAAGGAGAAGGGTAAGACTTGAAGAGGGCATGTGTTAATATATATAGTGGGGGGGATTGAGACAGATGTTAAAGAGACACATAAAGAGGTTCATAAAAACCTAACCCCCCCCTTCCTCCTCTCGTGAAACAGTGAATTAAAGAGGCATTATCATGTGGACAGGGCCAGAGAGAAAAAGACTGAAAGAGATATACAGCTAAGAAGCAAAAAATTGCAGAGCTATGTAGGCAGTAGCTAGGTAGCTAGATGTGATTTAATAACAGCTAAGGCAGTGTTCTAGGGTCACAGGTGGAAGAAATATAGGACGGCAGTGCAGTGGCCAGAGAAGGACTCTGAGCCCCGAGTCTCTCTCTCTCTCTCTCTCTCTCAAAAAAAAACAAACAGAAGTAGACTGTGGGCTAGAAGGGTTATACTAAAACGTCCAAAACACAATTCAAAAACACTGTTATACTGCAATTATTGGGTTGACAACAGAATTTGGATTTAAAATTTCAATACAACTATTTTCTTTAGTTGTATTTATTCGTTTTGGATTTGCAGGGCTGAAAGAGCATCGCAATAATTTATACATATGTCTCTCCATTCGATGGCACTGAGTAGTCAGTTGTCAATTGATCATGCTAAATTTTCCGTTATGTTTTGATATTACAGGTCACTGCTGCTACATCTGAGTTTTTTTTTCTTTCTCATATAAAACGTTAAAAACTTTGTTGATTTTGATTAGACATCTATGAAAAAACTGTAAATTCAGATGTTTAGGTAAATGGTAGAAATCTTAAGGTTGAAATTCTTGTAAACAAAAAGAATTCACAATCAAATTGATATCATGGTCTTGTTTGTGATATTTGAATAATAATAATAATAATTGTACATTTTACAGTAACGAATTTAACAATAATTAGATAATTTTAGCGGTAGAACACTTACCAATTACTTCCGGTTAAAAACTAAAGAAATCCAATAACGTGAGGAGGATCATAGCACCATGGTCAACAGATCCGACGCTGAATAATGAGGCTGTGAGCTGTGACTGCCAAAGATTTGACATTGGTCTTATTTTCTGACGAGGTTAGGTGGATGGAGGAGGCTGGTAAATGTGAATAAGACAACAAACAACAACAAAAATAATGCGAATTAAAGCCGTTGATCTGATTCATCAGTGCGTGTTTCGATGGAGATGGAGATCAAAGCTGCCCTGAAAACCTATGAAGGCTAGGGCTTGTAGTAGATATGCAGGCTTCGAAAAGTACAAAATTTTGCCATCTTCCTTTTTATTTTTTATTTTTGCAAGCCCCACAAATGAAAAATACAATTTGGGTTTGATACTAGTCTGATCCCAATTAATTTGGATAGGTGTACTTACTTTGTTTTTTTAATAAGTCCTCTCTCGTCAAAATAATTTCAACTTTACTGATCGATCCATAAACAAACGAAAAGAACATTAATTTCTCCTAGTTCCTGGTGTTAACATCTGAAATGGGAGTAAATGAATGAGTTGGGTTGGCTGTAAGTGTCCAGTCTGGATCTGCTGCATATAGGGTAGGGTGGTGGTCCCCATTGCTTGCCCTGTTAGCCTGCTGCATATTTAGTGAGGGAAGAAGAAGAAGATAGAGAAACCTTTTTATTTCTCTTGGTATGCTAAAATTACATTTATTTTGGCTGCACAAGATCTGCCCTCATTAAGCCAACAGCAGAGCCAAATATAGTTGGCTACAACAATTGGTTTCACATGTTTATGGATTTGCCACTTTCGAGGAAAATAATCCACAATTATTTCTGTTTCTCATAAGATTACCCCATCTGCATAACAAGCAATCAAACATTACAAATAGTGACATTGTAATAAATCAACTACAAATATGGTTGATTTTGATGAATATGAGAACCTACCTGTACAGTCTCATGAACTCTGGCATTTTCCTACTATTTGCAAGTATAAGGTTTCTGAATTTACATCGAAACCCATTCTCACTATGTTGTCCCATTGTAATCTCTCCTTCGATGGCTGCTTAAAAGCAACATAACCAACTCCAATAGCTCTTTCTTGGGATGCAAGGTTGGACTCAAATATGGTTTTGGAGAAGTTCTTAATGCAATTCGAACTTTTAAGTTTAATCTTTCAACCATTCTACGTTGCTCAGTCACTCTGCGCAGACGGAAAGCAGAGAACTCTCAGGTGAAACCAAAGCTCCTGCTGATCACTATTTCAATGATCACCACAGCAGTAGTAATTCAAAGACGTTCAAACTTTTCAGGGCAGTTCAATTTCAATACAATGTTTAACCATCACCAGAAATCGCCACAAGAACAAATCCCATCCTCAAAATGATGAAATCTATTGGCATCCCTCACAACAAGCACTTGCCTAAAAACTTTTGAAACTAGTTTAATGAAATGATGGCAATCGCCACAAACCCGAAGGTTCTTCGTGATTCGGATAGGGGTTCCCTCAGGAGATTTAAGCAGACCATATGCAATGGCCAGCCTTTCACTATGTCCATAAAGCATCTGAACTTTCTCTTCTTCCTCCACATTGTGCAAAACATATTTGGTTTGAGCCACATAGTCTACTTCTCTCTCCAACTTCTCAGTCATTTGAGCTAATTTTTGGTAAATCTCATTGGACTGAGGATGAGATTTATCCCTTGCTGTGAATGTATGAACCTTGTTTCCAATCTCAATCCAACTACATCCCGGATTTTTCTTCAACCCAATTCCCTTCATTCTCATCCTCACTTCTTCTACATCTTTCCATCTTCTGCTAGCAGCAAACACATTTGATACAAGCACATAATTTCCTGGATTCTCCGTGCCCAACTCTAAGATCTTCTTTGCTGCAATTTCTCCTAATTCTTTGTTAGAATGAACCCGGCAAGCACCAAGGAGAGCACACCATACTTCAGCAGTAGGTTCACTCTTCATGCCATTCACAAAATGGTATGCCTCTTCCAAGCGATTAGCGCGACTAAGAAGATCAACCATGCAGGCAGAATGTTCTGCCCATGGCTCTAATTGATATTCAGATCTCATGATTTCATATAATCTTTTACCCTCATCAATCAAGCCCGAATGACTGCAGGCATATAGAAGAGCCAAAAATGTAATATGATCAGGAACAATTCTTTCACCTTCCATCTTCTTGAATAAATCAATAGCTGCCTTGCCATTACCATGCATGCCATACGCATTAATCATGGTGGTCCATAAAATTAGACTTTTATTTCTAATACAGTTATATACCTTGTATGCATTCTCCAAAGTTCCAGAGCGGGCATACATATCCACTAGAGAGCTACCAAGAGATCCTTCTAAGATGAAGCCCTTCCTAAGAAGAAAACCATGAATTTCTTTCCCCTTCTTCAAAGCAGATAAGCCAGCAACAGCTGATAGTATGCTAACAAGTGCTATAGAATCAGGTTCAACGTTTGTTTCTTTCATGAGGTGACAGAGCTCAAGGGCCTCATTTGCAAGGCCATTATGAACATTGCAAGATATCATGCTCGTCCAAGACACAACATCTTTGGATTCAATCAATTCGAACATCCGGTTTGCATATTCTATGTATCCACACTCTCCATATAGGTTTACAACTGCATTTTGTAAGACAAGATCGAATAAACCTCTCCTCATAGTGTAACCATGTATTTCTTTTACAAAAGAAACACATTTCAATGCACCACAAGCCAGTAAAATACTTTCCACCATCATTGCATCAACATCCAGCCCCACCGCCTGCACCTTCCGGCACAATTCTAAGGCCCTCGTGTGACAATTGTTCTGAGCGTAGCCAGCAATAATAGTTGTCCAAGAAATGAAGTCTATGTTTGGCATCTTTTCAAAAGCATGGCCCATGAAGTTCACACAACCGCACCTAGCATACATATCTATCAGTGTGTTCCCGAGCTGCAAATCAGAATCGAATCCATTTTTTATCGCATAGGCATGAACTTCCATTCCAGACAACAGATATCCTAATCGACCAGATGCTGCAAGGATATTTATTAGCGAAACCAGGTCAGGTTTTTCATCAGTACTCTGCATATCATAGAACAACTGCAGAGTTTCATTATATAGACCATTTTGGGCAAAACCAGAGAGCATGCTATTCCATGAGACAATATCCTTGGCATCCAGGTCATTAAAGATTATGGCAGCCTCATCCGTTTTACCGCATCTTAGGTACATAGCAAGCAAAGAATTTGCCACGTAAATATCTAAGCAGTGACCTGATTTCATAACAGCAGCATGGATCTCCATACCAAGTTTATCAGAAAAAGAGTCCTCACAGGCTTGAAGAGCAGCAACAAAAGTATATGTGTTTGGCGTAAGACACATCCTTTGCATTTCTCGAAATAGTTCCAATGCTTCAACAGATTGCCCATTCGCTGAATATGCTGAAATAATAGAATTCCAGGACACAATATCCTCTTTTTCTTTCATGCCATCAAATAACTTCCTCGCCCCATCAAGATCATTGCAGCTTGCATACATAGAAGCTAGTGAGTTGGCAACAAATGTTACCTTAGTATACCCGTATTTGATAGCCACACCATGAATTTCTGTCCCAGAGCAGACATTATTAAGCGCAACACATGCTTTCAATATACAAGGGAAAGTACAAGAATCAAGGGGAACCTCCAAAACCCGCATGTCCCTATACAGCTCAAGAGCTTTTAAAGGTTTCCCATTTGAAGCATAAGCACCAATCATTGCGTTCCAAGTGAAAATGGTTCTATGGCACATTCTAACAAACACCTTCTCCGCGTTCAAAGGGGCGCCACATTTCCCGTACATAAATACAAGCTTAGTACTGAGAAACACAGAATCATATAAATCACAAGATTTTATCAAACGGGTATGAACTTGTTGCCCTTCTGACAGAGCTTTCTTGTTCGCACAGAGCTCAAGGACAGGAGAATAAGCCCCATCTAGAGAAAGCTTAAGTGATGAATTTTGAAGTTTGAGCAAACTGCCCAGTGACTGAAAAGCTTCCTTGAGGCTTCCTTGGTCGCAAACTTCCTTCAAGGAAGGTAATTTAATGGGGTTTTGCGAAACTTTGAAGAATTGGAGAGCTGGGTTTGCCTGAGCTTTCTTCAACATAGGGACGGGGTGGACTTGTACGGCCGAAGAAGTGAAGTAACAGTGTTGGGCTGAAGCAGCCATCACAGAGGACGTGCATGGAAAACGCAAGCGCTGCGCGGGACAATAATGTAAGCACATAAGGAGCGTAATGGCTGTGCCAGCACCATGCGCGTTAGAACGATGAACTCTTTCTCTCCATAAATTCAACGAGAGTGAACAAATGGAAACCACTCATATTTTGCTTTGTTATTCTCCATTCGGTAATAAATTTTACATTAAGGTCTTATAATCGATTAGGAAGTGGGATGTAGATGTTTTTCTCCTTACCCAAAACTAAAGAAAAATGATTGAGATGTAATAAAATGCGGGTGAATGTACAATCTTTAAATGTTGAGGCTCAAAATCCGAGAGCGATGATACATTTCACAAAAAGAAATGGGCAATAAGTGCCCATAATGCACTATTTCAAAAAGAATGGTAGCCAAGCCACAAGGCACACTAAACCAATTAACCGTGCCACATTCACACTGGGACGCTCGCCCAAACGTCCCATATTCTTGACACACTTTTCCGCTGTACACACACTGTTAGTCCATCTATTTACATATAAAAGAAACAAACACCTGTAGTAGACTTGGATGCTCCTTGTGCAGAAATGGAGAGCATCCTCCTATTCATCCTAAACGATGGCCCTATCGTCTTTGCCTTTCTCGACCAGATGCTCAACCAGCTGTAGCAAAGATCCTGATAGGCCGCATGCATGTGTGGTTTTGAACACCTAACATTAGCTTATGAGAAATTTCATCTTTCCTGTCAATCCTGTAAATCCTGTATAGTTTTGTCCTGTTCCAGTCCAGTCCAGTCCAGGCCAGCCCTGCTGTCGCATTTCTCCATGTATCATGAGCACCACCTCCATCCTTTTCTTGATGAGGGTGGACTTGTAAAATCCTTTTTTGGGTCTCATCTAGATTCAATAGCAGCCCCAACGGCTGAAGTTATCACATTTAAGTCAAAATTTTGCATCATCACCCCTGATTCATTGAAGCTCTCAAGCTCTCATCTGGCACTGTCCATGACAGCAAATGCCCTCCAGAATCCCCACTTAGTAACTGCTTGAGGTCATTTGTAAGGTGAAGGGAAGTAACAGGATGCTTATGAGACTTGAGCACCTTGTGGAGGACCAACCTGTACTCTGGTGCTTTGTCACTGAGGTTTAAACCCCCCATTCCGTTGCTTGTTGACTTCTGTTGGGAGCTCTCATGGTTGGAGTGGTGAACCATTTGCCACACCTTAACTGCCCCACTTTGATGACCCGTTACAAACCAGTTTGTATCCAGCCAATCAGAGAATGAACTACTTGTCACAGACAGAATTGAATCAGAAGGCAGTTGAGATGTGTTAACCATTGCAAGGCAGTCTCCATTAACGCTCCAAACTGCAAGTAAAATTCCAGCTGCTGTCACAATATCCCCTGTCAAGTCATTCACATAAACTGCAGAAATTGGTGCTGGGAACTCAGGGAGCTGCCTAACAAAAACCAAGGAGCTGAGATCCCATATAACAACGGTGCAGTCATCCGATCCACTCACAATCAGCATGTAAGGCTGGCTAACATGAAGACATGTAATTTTTGATGTGTGTGCACAAAGTGCCTTCTCCAACTGCAAGCGTCTCAAGACACGGGGACCATAATTACTGATTCTCCAAACAGAAACTAAGCCATCATCACCCCCAGTGACCAGAATCTGACCATCATGGCTAACACCAGTACACAGAATCTGGTTGCCCCCATGAAGATTCTCGTGTGTGGAGAGGAGTCGGTCTTGATCATAGCTCATAAATCTTAAGCTACGATCTGGAAAACCCCATGCTACGTATTTGGTATATGTTCTTGGTTTAAGCAAACAATTTGTTCCTACGACTAGGATTTTCTCATTGACAGTAACAATCTGAGTTATGGAAGATGGAGTCTTACGTATCTCATGCGGAACAAGAAGATACGAGTACTTGAGCGGATGAGGAAGCCTTCTATCGACCTGCCTTTTCACATGGGGTTTGGGGAATAACTGTTTGGGTGTCTGCCCAAAATGATTAATTTGTGCTAGAATTGAGGCTTTCATTGCAGGATCTGTCACTGAGTCAATGTCCACACTCCCCTCGTATGTGTAGTGATAAAAAACATTCACGGCTTCCTCAGCTGCCTGTCAATTATCAAGAAAATTTATAATGAAAAGCATATCAAAAAGGAAAAAGTAAAGTAGAAGACGAAGTCATGGAACAGAACTACAATTAACATAAGAACACAAATGCTCACAAAATGAGATCCAGAATCTATAAATAAATAAAACCATTCAGGTAGTATTGTATTTCACATAATTTTCAACCAACAATTTTGTATTTAATTGACCATGTAATATCTGTTTGGTTGCAATAAAAAACACACATAATGATAAGACTTCACTGTACAATGGTTTAGGTTAGGTGCAAATTTTCTTTCCCTACAATATCTTGGAAATAAAATAAAATGCGAAAAAATAAATTCATCAGTATACACAGAAATGTTACTGACCTTCCCTCTCTGTTTATATCCAAAAATGAGGTCTATCCAATGATGCAAATGTTCTGAAACATAATCAGATTCCAGTGCCTCCCTATGCTTCTTGATGAACTCTCTAGTGCTGCCTTTAGCCCATGGTGGTAAGCCAACATCACCAACCTAAAAATAGAAAATAAAGACACGTGTTTAGAATCCAAAATAAAAGAAAATTGAAAAAAAGAAAGAAAAGGAAGTAAATGGTCTATATTCAAAATCAGCACTGGCAGGTCAGCATTAGGCTAGAGGGGCTGCACACAGAACACCAACTTTCCTCTAAAATGTTCCAGTCACTTACGAGGGTGCAGTTTCAAAATTCTATTTGCTGACAAAAAGGTTGTACACATATACAAAAATGGTAAATGCACTTTGGCCCCTTAAAAGAAACTTTTGGTTGGTTAGTGGCTGTTGAACATCCGACAAATTATTTTTCTAAGGCATTAAAAAGTTTGACCTTTTCTCCTGATTGTTTCTCTCCCAAATCAAGATTGAAACGATTTTCCAAGAACTCAGGCATGTAGAAAAATTCTGGAATCAACTCCTTCACATCTGATGTGTTGCCCTTTCCAGCCGCACTGAACCAAGTATCTCTAACACTATTAAAAAGACGATCAGCATGGTCAAATTGCCCTCCCTGTAGCTTTTGATTCTCTACGCTGAAAGGAGGTAGGCGTAGAAGATAAAAGAGGACAATCCCAGCACTGGAATAATGAGAACCATAATGAAATTTGGGAACCTCCGGATCATCCCAGCTCTCGTATCTGAGTAGAAAAAGGAGAAATAAGATGGATAAACAAACAGTACTGATAACAAACAGGTGTCTTTATGAAACAGGAAGAACTTCAATCAAAGAAAACACAGAACTAAAAAGTGAATTAAGAATAAATCAGTGGAATTGATGGAGGGATGACCTTTTTCTGAATTCTTCTTCCCCCTCTAATGTCTGACAACCCATCGGTTTCTCAAGTCTACGAAATGTTTTTGGATCTGACAAGTCCAGATTTTCACTCTCATAATCTGCAAGAATCCATGGAAACACTGGGTATTGGGTAAGATCACTGTATCCACGTCCTGCCAGGGTGTTGAGATGCATAAGGTATTGGAAATTGCTTATTTCTCCATTTTGCCACCTCTTTGAAAAGGATTTAGCCATTGTCTTAAATAGACGGCTACCCTCATTGCTTTCTTGTTTTGCTGATCCAGAAATGGTTGTGTCCAACCTAATGCAGGGAATAGAATCACGAAGTTGAAAATTACGGGCCGAAAAATCCAGAAGATGAGGCAAAAGATATTAGGCAAGACAACCATCAATAACTTTTTTTTTGGGGGGCAGACAACAATCCATAATAAACCAAACCAATATATAGGAAAATTTTCAGTTCATATCTTAAATGCTAATGTTCCATGATATGCGCTGGCAATGATTCAACATCTCAAGTCCCTAACACAGGCACACAAGACACACACACACACACACACACACACACACACACACTCTTGGTAGACTAAAATAAATCATGCAAATACATACAGCTGCAACAATGTAAAAGCGAAAAGAACAATGAGAAACGATAGAGGCAATTGGGCATTAAATTCTTACATGCTATTCCTGGGAAGATTCATGGCTACTAGATTTTTGAAAACTTCTTCCCTTTCTTTTTTGTGGAACACCAGGAGATCATTACATCCATCCATGCTAAAAATTTCAACAGCAACAGGACGCAGCTGGTAATCACGCTTCAGAATCTCATGAACACTGTTGAGTTTCCACATGTTCCAAGGATGAGGTAGATTACCACTAGTACACACTTTCTCCTTTCCCCATGCACCACCGTTATAGGCCCATGCTCTTCCCCCAACCCCTGACTTTACAGTTGCTCCCCAAGACGAAGTTGACTTGGATTGGAAATCCATACAGCCCGTAGCATCTTTCTTTACACCCAGAGCCTGATCAATAATAGAGAGTTCATCTTCGCATTCCTTTTCACAAATGCACCCGGAGTCGTCAATATAAAAGTTTTCAATAACATACAGAGAAAGCTCGCCTATTAAAAATATACCATCATGCTTGTCAAGACCCACAACTCGTTCACAGTTATATCGAAATCGTATCTTTTCAAAAGGTTCCAGATAAGGTCTGATCAGGTATTCACCATTATCATGAAGTTCCTTGTCTGATTTATCATCTGTAACTTTGACATCATCAATTCTTGCAGAAGAAGATTGCCTTGGGGACCCTAGGTCAGATCTTTCTTGTACACTATCATCAAGGGGCACGGATGCTGCACTAGACTTGACACCAAACTCAAGTGCAGAGTGCAGACTTGCTTCATTGATACTACTAGCTCTATCATCATTCCATTCATTCCCAACAGAAGCAACACCTTTGACATTATCTGGTTCTTTAAAAAATGATCCATCATACAGCTCACCATCAAGGCCATTCTGTTTGGCACTATCAGTCAAAAGTTGAAAGAATGATTCAGAATCATTATCCGAAGCATCCAAATCGTTCTCATTTTTTTCTTTCGACAGCTCTGCTGCCCCTACTTCAAATTGTCCATCAAGAACGTTTTGGATAGTATCAATTTTCAATTTGCAGCGCTCAAATTTTTTGCGCATCCTGTATGGACCTTCAATTGGGCAAAGTTGCCA